CTTGGTGGACAAGAGAAGGAGAGTGGGATGAAATGATAAATTCACAACATAGACGCTGTGTGCCTAATGCCAATGTAAGCATGAACAAGCCTATCAGAGAGAATCTAGCAAGCTACGGGGAACCGGCGAAGACACAATGGAGCGACACAACTGAGAGCAGAAACAGAGATGGAATCGATACTCCCCCATTTACAGCGGGGTGAAATGAATAACAGGGAGGATAGAGGATCAAAATGAGAGCAATGCAGTGATCAGAGTCTATTTTATTTGAACAAAAGAGTGAGACAAACAATATTACTACATAGGAAATGGCCAGCATGAAGCTTATCATAATCAAAATGGACGTCTTGACCCATACTGTTTCCTTCCACCAAGGTTTGGGGTAATCCATCCAGCAGTTTTTGTGTAATCTTGCTATTTGAAAAAACATAACTAGTGTATAACCACTTAAAGAATTCAGTGTAAGAATTGATTAAAATGCAAAGATGTCAAGGTCGACTCAAACTAACTGTGAGAGACGCGGAGCCTGCACTCTCTGAGACAAGGTGATGAGTGGAGAGCGGACAAAAGAAGGGCCTTGGATGAGAGCTGTCTCCCTTCACTCGGAGAGAGCAACCTGTTCGGTGTCATCGCTAACAGATCTCCAAGGATGGGTGTCTCTGGGATCTGCCTGAGCCAACCTAAAAGTGAGCACCGTGCCAGTACACGGACTGCCTCCAGACACTAATTAGCGCAGAGAGTAGCGGGGAAAGCACAGTGTATTCACAGAGGAGCGCAATCTGTAGCTTAAACAGATGGTTCCACAGCACAAACTAGATAAGTGGTCTATTACTTAACGCTATTAAAACACATTTGTCGAGATAATTCCTGAATACTCTCCGCATGAGACTTTGTTTGTTTCTGGAGTGTGGGAATGTGTAGATGTATGATCAACAAAAAATACTGCTGTTGTGCTAATTAGTTGGAGCTGTACCTCATTATGAACTAAATTATTGTGGCAACCGGCTAGTCAAGCAGGAGTAGGAGCAGCTCCGGTGACGAATCAACTCTGGATTCGAGTTTGAAGAGGAGGGGGGCCGAAAAAAGTGTAAAGAATGGATGAAGTGGTGGGTGAGGGAGGGAGGTCGGCTTGGGTAAGAAATTGTTGCAGAGGACTGAACAGGAAACTGACTCTGAATGTGTGGGCTTCAACTCGGTGGACGCCAGTTCAAAGGCAGAGCTGCATTAACATTCACTTTTTCACTTTAAGAACACACGAGCCGTAATGCACGTCCAGCCAGATCTGCCACACACCGGCAACTTATACAGTCGAGACCATCAAGTGGCTGTGAGCGTCTCCTTTTTTGGGTAAATTAAATCTATTCCACAAATGCACTAAACAAGTAACCATGGCAACAGAATTGCAAGAAGAGCTGTTCAGTGTCACTCATTCATTTTCGTGCTGGAACTTCCCAGACCGTTATTGGCCTTGGGACCTGATGACTGATTCACTCGTAGTAGCATGACCAAAAGACGGTCGCAAAAAAGGCAGCGGGGGTGGGAAGAGGAGGCAGGCTGACACTGTTAGGAGTGGGGGCTGTTTATAAGACGAAGACAAAAATAGACAAGTAAGCACAGTTGCAGACATTGATTCTCCAAACAATTACCCAAAACACAATTAACACAGAGAATCCCCTTTGTACACCATCCATCCTGAGATCTGTGACTGTAGGGACGGGCTCCATTTTCAGAGGCAACTTGTATTGATTACAGTAACACACACAATCTGCTTTTTCCTCTCAACCTTGTCCGAAGCAATTTCAGCAGGAGCTCTCAGGCTGATTGATCATTGAAAACCTCCAGATGAGGTGTGGACCAACTCCTCAGTGATTGAACGGCCTTTGAAACATTAAGGTCATTCGCCAGGTCATTCAGTTTCCAACCAATCACATACCAATTACTTTGTCCAAGTCGAGTCAGTTTACGTTACTTAGCCATAAAAAAAAATATCTTGCAGCATTTGTCATTATAATGACAAATAAATGTTGTTTTACAAGGCTAAAAATTTTGAAAATATATATTATTCAAAAACCAGCATATCAGAATGTTAGGCTAATATTTCTTGAGTAACTTGGTCTCCAATCTCTGATGACAAATAAGCCACTGGGGGCACCGACCAATATTTTGGGGTTTTCCAGTGTAGACAGTGACTCCGAGACTCCATCTTTGTTCGCCATAGACTGTAATCACACAAGTCATGTTTCTCCACACAAAACACAAACAGTGTTACTTTTTGTAGGTTTGTTAGTTCCAGTCAACATTTTGGATAACATCTATTAACAGCTATCTGTGTATCAATGCAGATAAATCAAATATCCGATAGTTGATGAATCTCAGTCACTGTGTTCCACCTGTTTACCTGCAGGTAGCCAAACCCTACTCAGACTGACCTGCTGATTGGTCAAACTAGAAATGCAGACCAGAAGGCTTCCAGCCCTGAAATCAGACTCTGCATATTCACATGCATAATCTGTTTACTTCCTACCAAGAATATTGTCATTATACACAGGATTTCTATAGCCTGTGTTTTGACATATTTATGAATTTGAGAAAATACATTCCCTGTGAGTGCATGTACATAAAAGCATTTATAGCAGCAGTGAGAGGAGGCGTCATTGGAGCCGCTTTCCTCAGGCTGGAATCAATTCGAGTTAGCCCTAAGCTAAAGAAACAGAGCTGCTGGATCCACATAGATGTTCATGAAGCCTGATAAATCCAACAAGGGGTTGAGACCTCCAACTCAACTCATTCCGAATGCATTCTGCTTTTCGGACATAAGCAGAAATAGGCTTATGTCAGAACACACAATCGCTCAGATATGTGAAAAGGACGAAAATAATAACAACACAACGGAAATCCTCCTGGCCTCCCACTGACATGAGAACAGATGAAACAAGGCCTACATTGCAATCCATTCGGGCTCCGGGTCAGACACTAACCTGTGCACAGCCCACCCATAAACACCTCCACACACACACACACACACACACACACACACACACACACACACACA